CTAAATCTTTGGTACTAGTTTCCAGAAATAAAATTTCTGAGTCAAAATATATGCCTGATTTATGGAGTACTCAAACTATCGCAAATTACCTTTCAGGAGGATATCACTAATAGCTTGTACAGAGAGTTGCCCTTTTTCAATACTGCTTTCCAGTTTAAGAACTATAATTTTCCAACTTTTTCCAAACAGAGGTGAAAAACAGAATTTCATTGCTTTCACTTTTTTTGGTTTTGTTTTGTTTTGTTTTTGATACTGAGGATCAAACTCAGGACCTTGCACTTGCCAGGTAGACGCTTATGCTGTTGAGCTGTATCCTGGGCCCTTTATTGCTTTCACTTACATTTTTCTTTTTTATTATTTAAATTTAATATCTTTTCAAGTGTACTTGCTTTTTGTACCAATTATTCAAAAACATTCTTATTTTGTGCCCTTTCTTGGTTTATCCTTTGCAATGTTTGTCTTTTTATTATTTTTAGGAGATGAAGACTATTAGCATCCATAATACGTTACCAAATTTTGTCACTGGAGTTGGAAATATTTTTCTCACTTGTTTTTTGCTTTTATCACTTTGTGAAGAAGTTTTGAATTTTTATGTAGCTGGTGCTAATAGTATCTATATTTCCCTTTCCCTTTATTTCTTTTAAATTTTTAATTTTTTTAATGTATTTGGTATAGGCTCTCACTATGTAGCTCAGACTCACAGTGACCCTCCTGTTTTCAGCCTCCCCAGCACTAGGAGTACAGGCATGTGCCACCAGACCAGCTCTCAGTGGCCAGCTCAACGTGCCTGGGGATGGAGCTGGAGCAGTATGTGGTGCCAGGGATTGAACTCCAGCCCTGAGCTTGCCTAAGCAGGTACTTAGTACACTGAGCTATGTTGCCAGCCCTGATTTATTTCTTTATCAATGGTCTAGAAATGTTTTTCCTTCCACACCATACACAGAAAAATACCTAAATGTTTGTTTTGTTTTGTTTTGTTTTGTCTTGTTTTGTTTTGTTTTTGTGGTACCAGAGTTTGAACTCAGGACCTTACTCTTGCCAGGCAAGCACTTATTCCACTGAGCTATCTCCCTGGCCCCTCTAAATGTATTTTTCTTTTGCTTTTTTAGATAGACAATTGTATTTAACTCTTTCTTATATCTGAAATTTATTCAGATGAATGATGTGAGAAAGAAATCTGGCTCAACATTTCTCCCACAAGAAGTTACTAATAATTTTTAGACATAATTTTCATTTCACCTCTTTTTACTCCTTGACTTTTATGTTTTACTGTGTACTAGTCAGTGCTTATAGAGCTTGCAGGTCTGGGGCAAAGTGCCTGGAAGATTGCACATGCTCTGAGCTAATTTGAAGCAGGACACAGAAATCTACCTGATGGGAGTTCAGTGGCCTCCCACAGAGTCGAATGCAGAAGAGTGCCGCAGGTCCATGTGCAGGGACCTAAGGTGCTCAAGGCATAGAACCCACTCCAATGCCCCATAGGAACCCATTCTCAGTAGGCCAAAGGATCTGTGACAGAAGATGGGAGGGATTGGTCTGGAGGACAAAGGCTTGGCATTGGAAGCTGAAGAATCTGCGCCAAAAGCCAGGAGACAACACCCAAGGTGAAGACAGAGACCAAGCTCCGCCAAAGAGAGCGACCAAAGGGCCTCCCAGGAAACCCAGCCACCACAAAGCTCTTTC